CGCAACTATTGGTCACAGATGCAATTGTTGGATCAGGATATATTGCTTGCCAAAGGAACCTGGAAAATTCACTCACTGTGGGCAGTCAATCCAGACCGAATATTGAGCCAGATTCAGCTTTTCCCACATAACGTATTGTTCTTCAGATAAACCAAGCGACTCGGCCATTGTGTTTGAGATCTCTACGTAAACCGGATAGAGTGAGTTTGTGAGGCGATGTATACAATGGCATCGACACCAACGCACCTCCTTTCTGATCCATATTCTTGTCCGCGGAACAGATGGGACAAAATATGGGGTAACGTCCTTCCTCCAACTTGGAAACAACATGAGACTTCAAGCACCCGCGACAAAAAACGTGTGTGCAAGTTGGAATGGGCATAGCGGAGTCGAGTGGCCGCATTTCCATACAGATAGAGCATTCAAATGTCGGCTGGGATTCAGTGATTAAACGACGGTGTTCACGTTCGATTTCGTCGTCCTCACGGGCAAGTTGAACAGCGAGATTGTGATCTGCTAGCATTCGTGCTTCATCTTCAGCCATTCGTGATCTCAACTCGGATAAAGCTCTTTCGGATTGGTCCTCCACTCGAACAGTGGAACGATCTCGACCGGCTACAGCCGCGAAAGTTCGACGAGCAGGGGGTAAATCACGGAATGTGTCTGGAGGCCTAAAGTCTGATCGCGCTCCGTTCATATTGGGGGTCCCCCGACACGCTGTTCCCTTGAGTTTGCAGGCCTACGGGAATAGCGGATTAGGTCTTCCCGTTCACGAGACAAAACTCTTGATTCGTTATCCAACAACATTTGGGTCCGAAGGGCAACCTCGTAATCATCTTCATCTTCATGGAGAAGGCTTGCTTGATCACCTTGGACTGCGGTCCCGAAGCGATGCAGAGAATGCGAAGGATCATCTGGGTGTTCATCTTCTGACAAGCGTTGTTCTTGATCAATCAGCATATCATGATACGCAGGAGGGACGTCCTCGAAAGCATCACTGTGCGAAATCTAGATTGGAAATGAGTAACAGCTGGAGCGTATATCAGACATCGCTTACGGGAGAAGTAGGAAGTGTAGAATGATTCAGTGCCGTTGTCGTTCCAGCAGCCGAACGTCGAATCGGTGTCATTGAGCCCGAAGTTGGGGCTGCAGGCATAGTATCATAATCAATGCTAATGCTGTCAGACTGGTAGGAGATTGTATCGGTGAAATCGCGGTCGTTCGCCGGTGTCGGGTTTCGCAACAAACGATTGTTCTCCTCGACGTGCAGTCCTACCTCCCTTGACTTTCCCTTCCCCTTTCCCTTTCCCTTATCTGCGTCATCACGTCGCCAAGCTGGGAGATTCTGACGCGTCTGGCTAAAAGATGCATCATCGTTCACTCGAGCCCGCAGCGACGACAACTGCGCATCAGCAAGTTCCGTTGCGTGTGGTTGTGATATCTGTTGCTGCCAGAAGTTGCTACGATCCGGAGATGATAACATGGATTTGGCGCTGCTGTACATGCGGCCCAAAAAACCTGTGTTTTGATTATTAGAGTCGCCGCCCACGCTACTGGTTGAACTGGCCGATGCCAGCGAAAATGACCGGGAACGATCCGGGACCTTGGATTTCGAGACATCTGGGCCCAAGTCGACGGGATAAATCCCAAAACCATCCTCATCGACGTCATGAGCTGAAAGCTGTTTCTCAGTAGGCTTCCAACGATCGGCAGCTATACGCGACATCATCGAGGTAGTCCAATTTCCCTCCGCCCTCTTCGACACCTGCGCACGGAGATCCCTGACCACCTCGCTTTGAGCCCTGAGCCTACTGCGTATCTCATTATTCTCCCTCTCGAGCCGTACGTTCTCTCGTTTGGTTCCCGACAGAAGATTGTCGAGTTGAGCCCTTTTTGCTTTCTCCATCAAAAGCTCTATATTCGCTTCGACTGTGACCCCACCCTCTGACTCATCGTCATGGTCAATTCCCCCGTCTCCATCCTGAATTGCAAGGAAATGGGCCGAAAACTGGGTAAGGAGCTGGGTTTGCCAGTCGTGGCCGCGACGGGCTTCCTGTCGCAAGCTCGGGTCAAGGGCAAACAAATCGTTGACAAGATATTCAACCAATTCGTCCGGATCCCTGATGAAAACGAATGCTAATCCGTCAGGATGAACAGCTTTGCCGTTGGAACGACTATGTGAATCGAATACAGCAAAGACATTGCGAGTTGGCGATGTTGCCGTTGATGAACGCGATGCTGCATTGTGCCTCAACGTGAGGAAAAAGAGAATCACTATCTCTGGGGGTCGAGTAATCACGGCAGCGATATCTCCGCCATTCGATAGGGCAGTAATTTGCAAATCCCTACAACATAGACATCACGTTAGAGATGAAAACATGGACCCATTGTCAACAGAGGCACAGGCGCACTCACTCAACAAGCTTAGCAAAATGCTCCACTCTGCACTGCTGGTACATTGTACTTACGAGCCGCAAAGAGTAACGAAACATTGGTAGCGCTAATATATCCTCCACTTCAAAATGACTCGTCGAGTCTAACTTGGCACAAGGTTCGATGATGGACTAAAAGGGGGGGGATAAGTGACAAGAAGGCTGGGCCATAAGAGTGATCGTGTGCATACCTGATGAAAACGCACATCATCGATGGTTCTCGCAAATTCGGAAACCTCGGAAGATCCAGAGCGACACGATCGGCCTAGCAGCAGGATCCTTTTTGCGGCAAGCAAACAGGCGAAGCCGCAAGCGGATAAACCTCCAACAGCATACTGACTCGTCCCTCGGAAGGTAGATATATAATATTGGGACGGAATTCTCGAGCTGTGCGTATCCCAAAGAATGAACCCGGCAAGCGTCTGTTGGAAGCTGCTTGTTTGGGGGGCAGTGAGCTCCGCCTGCAAAAGCGACGATCCAATGTCAAAATGGCGTCCCGTTGAAGCGAACGGCACCATCCATGAAGCACGCCGAGGGTTATCCATGGGTATGCTAGACGGTTCGGAAAGCTTAGGAGTCGAAATGGAAAGCGAACGAGGCACCGTATTGGTATGTCCATACGCGAGGCTCTCTTCGGGTCCCACGTCGCTCGAGACAGACTTGGGAGGCATAGAAGGTTCGGTAGAATCAGATACGCGAAGCTCCGACGGAGGGAGGTGTGTGCTGTTGAAAGGCAATAGGTCAGGCGGATGCTGTGGCCCGAGAGGGGGTCCGAGATAATCTGGTTGATGGACAAGGGCAGGTGGGATTGGGGAAACAGACGCCGACCGCGCAGATGTGTTGTATCGAGTCACGGGTGCGGGATAAGTGTGAGAGGCATGTGGAGTTTGGTGACGCTCTACATCCTCGGGGATCGGGATCGTAGACATCCTCGGGCTACAGGCAGTGGAGGGTGAATAATCAACAATGTTTTGTGGAACAGAGGAAGATGGGTCCACGATATACGCAGTTGGCGTTGCTGGCGCGCCAGAGCTACCACCGTTTAGAGAGTTGTAGTTATTGCGCGCAGAAGCTGCATCATCCAAAGGTTGCCCGCCTGTGGCATCAACGTTGTGTTGGGTCTGAGCGGCTGATGGCTGCGTTTTGATCAGTGGCGCTAGATCTGGCTGATTTCTGAATCGACACTCACATCTTCCGTTGTCAACTGGTCACCTTCGTTCAATAGACGCATTTGACGACACCTTCAAACCTGCGCGCGAGCTAGAGGGTGGGTACAGTTCCAGCAGCGGTTACTTGGTAGTGCTGCCTGAACCAGATGGTCATGCAATTCTTAACGGAAGTGATCGGTAATGGGCTGTGACTAAACGCGCGCCTTTTACAACTCAAGGCACAGTTAGGTTTAATGTATTACGTAACAGAGAACAAGCGCGACGTGTGAATATCAGCTGTATAAAACACATAAACGAGTGAGTTATTGCGGGGGGCGGCGAAAAATGTCTCGATGATGATGCGATCGTGTTCAAAAGTCTTCATGTATTAGAGAACTTGTCATTCAACAATGAAGTTGCCAAACTTTGCCATTTTAGTTTTTCGTCCTGATGTATGCCCATGTCTTGAAGTATGGGAGATATACACTAGGCAGGTTACCAGCCTCTAGTGGAATAGAGATATACACAAGTTTGGCAACCTCCTATACATGCATAGGTGATACAAAACTAAGCCCGCTAGATTCGTTTGCTACTGCTTCACAAGCCCTCGGCTTGCCGACCCCCACTCGCAGTTTGGGAAGTGGCAGAGAGCCAAGGAAAAAACCAAAAAAGGAGAGAAACTGCAGCACCCAAGATTCCCGTGTAGTCCCCTGCCACGGTACTAACTGAGCGGTACTCAACTTGACTCCGCAGATCGGACGGGATGCGGTGCTTTCCAAGTCCTATGGCCGCAGATAGTTAGGCTGGGCCCCCCGCCTTTGATGAATATTCATACCGCTTGGGTTGACGGACCAAAAGAGTAGATTAAAAAGCCACTTGCATAAAACAGCGAGAGTGAGGTAGACACCTATTACTCATCACGGAATCAATGTAACTAGGTGTCGTAGTCAGGGGGGGTTCTGATACCTTCTTAGATATCAAATCACGTTTTCAGAGCATGCTCCGAATGCTCTCGGAATCCCTTGTATATATATAGACAACTTCATACAGTCCCAACCTTCTTGGATATCAAATCACGTTGTCAGATGCTCTGCACGCTCCCGGAATCCCTTGTATATATATAGACACTTCATACAGTCCAGATGCGAAATCACGTTTTGTGGACAGATAATGAATTGATTTCCTAAGTTGGCAACCCTTCGACCTCAACATCGCGTCTGTGCGCACAACCGCACAACCTCAACTCTTGCAGTCTCAAGTGTCATCACCGACTTCGACTTCCCCTTATATACATACTGTATACACTGCACACACATCACACATTCAATGCACTAATAAATTGTACAGCGTCTAACGGCCCCATCACGTGTTTTTTTTTTCAACCATCGTACCACTCTTGCCAACGCCATCGACACCCACAATGCCAAAATCAAAGGGCAAAGCTAGGCGTGTCAACACAAATTTCGTAAATGACACTTTGAATACGACCAAATCTGGCCTCATTGCGCGAAAGACAGCCTGGAGGCGGTTCCAAGATGCCCAGTCATCAATCCTCAAAGGTGATGTAGGTTGTAGATAATGAACGCAAGGTCATAACCACCCCCTTAGATGCTTCTCCAGCTGTTTCATCACTGATAGATGAGATCAGAAACGACGTTGACCTTACTGGGAATGACGCCTGGAATGTTGGTCTCGATGAGACCGCAACTGACTATTCCTCCCTAGACATGACTTATGAGGATCTTGCAGACGTAGTAGCACTGCTCCAACCAAAGCAGTAGGCACCATTTTTTTCATCCCATTACTCCACCCGAGCACCAGCTATTTCAACCTCCCTTTTTGTAGACGAAGCAGAGGAATTTCGTGGCGCAATCGAATCAATGCATCACAGGCACACTGGGCAGCATTAATACCCAGTCTGTCCGACATTTATCTCAAGTTCAAGACCAGCAATCCTCAATGTACGCCGCTTCATTCCCGTGAACCACCTGAAGGTTCAGATTTCGTTTATATCTATGCTGTCGACATCTTTGGTATGGATTTCTTTTTGTTTCGACAGGGGATACTCATTCTCCAAAGACAGCCGCTCATACGAATACATGCCTCGGGATCCGGGTGAGGCCTCACCGACATTTGCCCTTCTTTGTGCTGGCTACATCCCAGCCACTCCCATCAATCCAACCGTAGCGATTTCGATATGCTCACTCGAACTTCTCCACTGTCTGATGCGCACGTCACCGAGCTTCAGTATTCAGTCATTTACCCGACTGTTGGCCGATTTACATTGTGTGAGTGTACAAATGATAGAATAGTACTTTTCGTGGGGCTGATAGTACCCTTCCCCAGGTCGTATATCAGCCATACCTTCGTACACAGGTCTCGCTTGCTTTTGAGGCATATTATGCTATCATTACAAGAGTGAACGCCTTTGTAAAGCATGTCATGGCGCATGATACGCCAGATTATCGCCTCAAGAACTCATGCCCTGCATGCCATTACAAGGTACGTCACATCCTCCCCACTGACAACTCGCTGACGTGTCCCATGGTAGCTTCACGATGAGCCCAAGCTGTCAGAAACTATGTTCGAGGGGATCGCGGGAAGCGGGGCGGAGTACGGCGGTGTAAGTGGTCACTTAGCTAATGAGCTACTCCGTTGCAAGGCATCGAGGGGGTTGGGACTTCGGCTTCAACGACTTTGCCAGAGCGTTGCGCCACGCGTTCTAGGCTGTCCCGTATTTCACGTTAGCGGGAAAGACCTTGCGGCGACGTTGACTTAAGCAGGATGAAGCTGAGGGGCGAACTTAAGATGAAAGTACTTGGGGGGAATTCTAGTCGATATTCGAACTGAGGTACATCGACAGTAAACTACAAGTATAAATAGGAAAGGAGAACAGAGAAGGGACCGGTCGGTCCGGCGCGGGACGGGAACGAGATGATAAGTACGACAGAACTAAAGAGCGATGAGGACCAGGGTAATGGAACAGAAGAGATGAATGGAACAGAGAACGGCGAAGTTGGGAGGCAGAAAGGATAAGCCGACAATCTAGGCGCGCGGGTCAGAATGTCAATATACGTATAAATCAAATATCAATAAAGGAATAATCAATTGTCAATAAGGAATGTCCATAAGGAGCGGATCAACGGCGACCATAACAACCGCTAGTTAGTTAAGCGAGTGAATAGAATAAAACGATACCGGCCGAATGGTTGAGGAACCCAAGTGGTGGCGGGAAAACGAAGGAGGCGCTGCTACGGGGCCGTAGAACGGGAACCACTATCGGCGCCGCTAAGTGATGGGCAATGGCGAGATTAACGGGCGCGAGTAACGGCATAAGAATGGGGGTGCAGAAAGTGGTAGAGGGGCGGGGACTTTGCGGGGCCGTGACACAAGCGCCCCATCGAGTTAATTGTTACTGGCGATGGAAACACTTCCCTTTCACGCCTTCCACACCAATATGAATCTGACTGTCGGACTTTTTTTAGTGATTACTTTTTACCTCGATCAGAGGTAGATGCATTTCAAAATACCAAGAAACAATCTCAGCTTGACTCAACGGTATAGTAATCGTCCGCTTTTTGAGTAATCATGAAATCACATCAGCTGTGATATAGACAGGACCAAGCGACCCACTCCCCGAATCGTGCATTGGATGGAAGAACTCTCGGCCAATGGCTCAAACAACAAAGGCTGGATCCCTCGGCGTTATGGATGAAACGGGCATATTTTTAATTATTTGCCGCCATGGCATTGTCCAGTTTGTCATGGATATGGTCAAAAGCGGGGAATTGTAAGTTACTTTCATTCTCGATTCTCGCTTTCTTTCTGCACCTATGTACTCTGGCTTTAAGAGCAAAGTACCCAGTGGCAGCAGCAAACAAACTAATAAGTACGTTTGGCCATAACATCCTCTTTGCTTACGATGTTGGATGCACCTTCTCCGTCACGCTTGCCCGCTCTGCTATTGGCGATGTGGCACATCAGGCCAATTTCTTGTGCTGTACCGGCTCCTTTCACGGTGTTGCCCACAGTAGGCTGTGTCAGCTCGATCACCTCATAGGTCTCAAAGAAGGGGTGGGCATTGAAGATGGGGAAGGCAATGAACGGGCATTCTCCTCCAGTAATGGCGTTGCAGCGGTAACCCGGCACGCGTCTGTGCATTACCGTCACTTCCGGATTCACCTTCATTTTGAGAAGTGGGACCAGGATAAGTACGAGCGCTTGGGTGAGGATTGGCACCACTCACATTAACTAGTTCTGACCCGGAGATAGGCAACTTCCTATTAGGGAACCATACCTCTGCGTGGATGCAGATCCGCGAATCCATGGGTGTCTTAGAAGCAATGAAACACATGCACCCATCATTCGATTTCGACCGGGACTGTCCACTATTTCTGCGAGAAGAGAAGGAGTACATTGCATCGCTGAGGTCTGAGCCGAAGGCTGAGCAAGCCAAAATCAAGTACCTTGAAGCACTGGAGCGATTAGAGAATGCTGAGTGAGTCGCTGCCCACATAACGTGCATTCCACCTACAAATCTAAGTAGGTTGGAGCTTCGGCCTCTGTTATCAATGCTATCTGCATCACCAACCTCGGAACTCGCCTACCAGGCTTCGCGTGCTCAACGCAAAGTGGAGGATGCACGCTGCATTGTCTCTGCACTGGAGGCAACGTCGTCTCTCACCTTGCCCTGGCTTGCAAACTCTCCTCAGCGCCAGGAAGCCATCCAGTTGCGTAATGAGAGAAAGTATCATCGCCTTCTTGATGATCTGGAACACCGTGCTATCTCTCGTCAGTTTGAGTTGGAGAAAATGGGTCTTCCAAAGACCGGTGAGTACCTCATTATAGTTTTCAGATATTACATCAATTTTTCCATTCATAGACTACAAAACCCGTCAACGTATATCACAGTTGATCGGAAAACGGAGCAGGACGCTTCATTCCACCCTTGAGAAGTACAATACCGCTGCCGCAGCAATGATACCTCCGAAGCCATCCCTCACTTGGGATGACATAACCCATCCCGACTTCCCAAGCACAGTTGAACTATTACGGGGTCGTGATGATATTCGGAGTTGTGAATGGGCGCAGGAGCATTTCCGTGCAGCAACCCGTGCCTGGGCAAGCCTCCAACGTGCAAAAGAAGAACTTGTTACCATCGGAGTTGAAACCCGCAGGATACTGACCTCTATGAGGGATGAGGAGCTACAGCTCAAGGTAACTATCGAGGCTATGGCTGCTAGCAACCCAACCCTTGCGTCATATATCTCGATGGCTTTCAAGTGGCGTGTGGAAGCAAATGCCCACCTCCGCAAGAAATTATCGCGCCTCGAGTCCCATCCATATTATCGTTCCCCATGTGGAACTGGTACTTCTGCTCGCTCTGAGTGGGTGCCTCCAAGCAACTCCGACGATAATCAACAACTCAGCGTTGAACCCAATTTGCCTTCTGGGAATGAGACAGCTGACGGGGGAAACGGTGGCAATGTGGATGATGGGCTATCTGAGGAAGAAGGCGAAGAGCAGTCACAATATGCCATTGATAAGCTTGTCGATCTGTTAAACAGCACTGTAATTACATAGTCCCCCACCCATTTTTACGTTGTTGCCTTCGTACATGTCCACTCTACATTCAAAATGAAACGAGTGGCGGCAGTGAAGTTCCGTCAGGATGGTGCTCGGCAGAGGGCAATTTGTCCCAACCAAGCTAGAGATCTGTCTGGGTTACTGGTGGATAGGATCACACAAGCTCATATTTCTACATCATTGCAGGCACAACACTAATGATAATAAGCCCAAATCCATTGGAAGTAAAGCTGTTAATATACAATAAGCCAAGTCGCCCAACTGTCATAAGCCATGGCAGTGCACCAAGTTGCAACTTGGATTCGTTCAACACAATCCATCAGCAGCCAGCCACGCCTTTTCCAGGCTATTGATCCACATTCCTAGTATGGGTGACAGTAAGTAGCCTCCAGATTCCTTGTTTTTTGGGGGCTAACTAGAGTAAACAGCATCGATAAACCCACCTTGGCATGCCATGAGGCTGAGGGCGGAAACTGCGTTCAAGCGACACCTACACTTGTTCGCTTTTAGGAATGGCTGGGATAGTGATGAGGTGAAGGTTCTGGAGGACTCTGGTGTCAGTGACACATTTTTGGAGTCATTTTGGTGGGCCCAAAAAGCCAACTGTGAGTCGTGCGATATTGAAGTACGTCGTTTCAACCTGGCCACCTAACTAATTCCAGTGAGGGACCCCATCAAGGGGGATAATTTGAAGGATAGGGTACCCGCCGATGTTCTAGAGGCCGAGATTAAACGACTGGCTCGCGAACATGTTTATAAACACCTCGAAAAGATTGACAACTTACTCAAGACCATGGCGCCTGCAGTGAGTATACAGTTATAGTTGTGTAAACTACTCAGCGCTGCATTGTAGACGAGAGTCCTTGATTTTTATGGGCTACCCAGTCTGTTTGTGATCGACTGCGAGCAAGAAAACCATGGCGTGTGTATCCTTGCGTCGCAGGGCCTAAAGGACCAGTGTGAATGGGATGAGTTAAGGAGGGAAATAATACAGCAGCTCAAATCGCACCAATGTCCAACGCAGGCTCGACAACCTCACACCCTACTGCCCAGGAGCCCAGACACGCTCTATTCTCCCAATCCCCCCATTGGCAACCAAACTGAAGATCTTCCTCGATCACACTCCAGTTCCCAAGCCTGTCTGAACGCTTCCGTGGCCAGCTGGCGGTCTGGAGTTCAGCACAGTATGTCAGCGTCTGGGGCACCTTCTGTCCAAACGCCAACCTACCGACAAGTGGTGGATGAGCCACCCATACAAAGTTCGTCTTACCCTTCTCATCACTCCCAGACTATTGAAGTGTCCTTAGTGACCAACTTCCACATGCCCCGCTTGCCCGCCACCAATGGAGGAGTTACACTGCACCATCATACAGCAGCCACCAGTGAGGCCACCAGTACTGGTTGGCAGAGCAAAAAACGCACCATGGGCACTGGCTCGAGTTTGACTACTGATAAACCAAGCGTGAAAACCAGTAGCTGGACAGAAGTCAGTGATTCAATTGACGATGATGACGCAGCTGCTCTCAAGGAGTTGCAGCGGAGTTTGGCAGACAGTTCACTTCAAGCGCCAGTGGAACACAGAAGGTCTGCTGAAACTAACGCTGAGGTGGTATCAACCCCAGGCTCCTTCATCTCACGAACTCCCCTATCTCTCTCTTTGCCGGTTCTCAGCCCACCACGTGGGATACACACCCGTAGACGAGCTGGACACGCAAGCATTGCAACTGCCAGTACGACCAGCACAGACATCTCAATGCTTCTGCAGTCCATCAGCAACAGAAGCTCCACTCGACTTAGCGACGCCGATGTTCGGGCCATCAGTACCCTTTGGCTTAGTGATGCATTGAGTGCGGATGATCTCTCCCAAGTTCTTAGGAGTCAGTTCCACATTAGCGAGGAATTTGTGCGCTGCTTGATTCACGTGCGCCAGGCCTGGATGGAGGATGGCCACTAGAATCACAAACCCCCTCTTCTCCATAAAAAATATGTAAATATGTAAATATGTCTATGCAACAATCCGGCGCTTAAAATTAGTGGGGCCACAAGCTCAAAAATATAGTTTACTGACTGACCCAGAGCACGTGTTTCCGTGTGTGCTTACGCTCTCCATGTCATACTGGCCATCCCAGTTTAGCGACTATGGCAGCATCAATGCCACCCAGAATCAACCAGAAAAGCAAGATCCTAAGGTGACAAAAGAGACATACAACCGCCGCATTCAGGAATTGAAGCGGAAGTTTGAGGAAGATGTAAATGTGATTGCGAACGAATTTTCAGGTCGGCACGTCCATCATTCTGCTGCTCAAATTCGAGGCCAGATCCTCTATACGATGGCAGAGGACAAAAAAACCCGGAGCCCGCATATTAGCAATGCATGGGCCCACGCCACTGCGGATGTGGGTCGCCTGGACAGTAAGCCAAGGGTTGCTTGCCATCCATGCGTTGAACAAACCATTATTTTTCAGCGGAATCGTTCACAGACATGCCATACGATACTGCTTACATGGATTTGTTAAGGGATATCAAAGCGGGGGTTGTTACCCAGGAGGATGTGGGCGATCCTCAGACGCCTGAGGATGAATACAACCACAAGTTACTGCTGGACGCAGTCTTGGTCAGTCGCCAACATCGTACGGCCAAGAGGCACATAATATCGCCTGAGCTTAGCGCCCACCGACTAGCGCTTCACGCGAAGGACCAGCTTCAAAAAACGGTGAGTAATCACTAATGCGCAATCAACGATTCAACGATAGTACTTACACTTGCATTAGGCTACCCGCATTCATGAGACATGCGGCATTGAGGTCCTTATCATGATGACGAAGAGCCGGGTGGAGGACGTCTTCACCCCGTATGTGTGGGCAACACCACGTGCCAAGGAGTATTGGGTGGTTGGGGCGGCCCAAAACATGACTTCTCGTGCCCAGGAGATGGAAGGCTTCTGTATATCAAACATTAGAGGTAGGCATGGCAGCATAGCATCGAAATGGGCTCAAGCACATCGGACCGCCTAGGCATGGCCAAGGTCGCTGAAGAGACGATCAAGGAACTACGTACTAGACTAGCTGGCCTGACAACGGATAGGCTTTGTGAGTAACAATCTGTGCAGTTCAACTTGACACTTACTAGATTTACCAGGCAGTGCAGCGAAGGACAAATTCGTTGGAATGAAATGGGAAAAGGAAGGGTATCTTCAATTGGTATCTGGCTTGAAGCTCAAGATCGATTCATACCCGTTTGATGAGATAAAAGCGCCAAAGTGGCTTAGAAAGGCGGAGTTGATGAAACTAATCGAAGGGTGGGAGCATGGATCTATCAAGTGGGTAACAGCATCCAACGACGAAATCGAGAGTGCCCAACAAGAACTATCTCGACTTGCAAGGGAGAAAGTGGATTGTACGGTGAACCGTCGACAGAGGTGTGTTGGTTTTATCCCACTTTGGCTGCAAGGTTCATTACTGGCACGGCACAGTGCTACGAACAAGGCCAACAGCAGCACGTCCACACCAGATATGTAGGTCATTAAGCTGCATCAGGCACACAGATCTGAAACAGTACTTTTAAGTGCGGGCCTGTAAGAAACCACCTCCGCCTAATGCGGGCATTTAGTGTAATGGTAACACACTCTTGGTACCTATGCAGGGTTCTGCGGTTCGACTCCCAGAATGTCCATATTTTAGCATTTAGGTTCCCAAGACCACGTGTACAAATTCCAACATGGTGGACATTCTACGGAAGTCACCGAGCACACCCAAATCCGGTTGCTGCCACGTGAGATGGGCACGTGAAGTCAAGCATTAAATTAGCCGGCCTGACAAAGTTTCAGGGGGTGTAGCTCAGAGCACTAAGGACCCAAATCCGGCTGCTTCAGACCACATGATGTGGACATGTAGGAGATTAGCAGTAAGTCCGGCCTGAATATGAATTCAGGGGGTGACGGCTCACGGGCTGTTGGAAGCCCGGTGGTTAGGGTCACATGTGGATCACGGGCTCAATCCAATGTGAAGGGGGTGTGTAAGAAACCACCTCCGCCTAATGCGGGCATTTAGTGTAATGGTAACACACTCTTGGTACCTATGCAGGGTTCTGCGGTTCGACTCCCAGAATGTCCATATTTTAGCATTTAGGTTCCCAAGACCACGTGTACAAATTCCAACAGGGCCATGGCCAATCCGGAGTGGCGCTTAACTCCTCCCCCGCACTGCCCTCAGGAAGGGCTGCCAGCACCACAAGAGGGTAAGGGGCACTTTTGCATCAAATGGACATGTGGCAAGTAACTTCCAAGTGCTCTGTGATTGTGATAGACGAAAGCATACAGCTACTGACCTTCAAGATGCTCCTGAGTTCATTGATTGACCAAGTACCCTCTGAAGTGTGAGACAAGGACATTGACATGTCTAGCAAGCGCGCAGATAGATCATGGGGAGTAGTGCGCCACCAGTACTCCTTTACGTGGCACAAAAAACTCACTTCCATTTACTGAATACATGTATATATTGGTCATTGATATCATACTATTCATTCTCTGGAGAGGAAGACAATGAAACAAAAAAAGAGAAAAGAGAACTGATGTGTTGGAAGTTGAAGTCGGCGATGACGCTTGAGACTGCAAGAGCTGAGATTGTGCGCACAGACGTGATGTTGAAGTTGTGGGATATAAGTGTGGGAGGTCGAAGGGTTCTCAGGGAAGGCCGTCCAACTTAGGAAATCAATTTATTGTCTCAAAACCCGTGATTTCACGTCTGAACTGTATGAAGTTGTCTATATATATACAAGGGATTCCGAGAGCATTCGGAGCATGCTCTGAAAACGTGATTTGATATCTAAGAAGGTATCAGAACCCCCCTGACTACGACACCTAGTTACATTGATTCCGTGATGAGTAATAGGTGGAGGTAGACGCCACCGAGGCGAGTGCGAGAATTGCTTCCGACGTGATGTCAGTATGACGTCAAACCGTCAAAGTCTGCAAATTTGGAATTGTGTCGACGAAACGCGTCATGCTGAAGGGGGTTGAGGAGATCGGACCTTTAAGGAGTGCACATCCTGTTAGGTTACCGTAGAGTTTGCACTGGATGTATCCAATAAGAGAGAACTGCATGTGTGACCCAATCACGTTTCTAGCGATAACATTTTCAGAGAACAACGTCCAGGTCGTTTTTGCACACGCATGAGAAGACGATGATGTCTGGTTCAGCATACACTTATTGCATCTCGTGCACAATCCAAAAAGTTGTTTTCATCATCTTTTATATCCGGTCTGCATTTGCGTCCCCCGAAAATCGATTGTAGATAAGCATCTATCCATCCCGATTTCTTCACATTCATAGCACTCTTCTTTTATGTAACCCTGACGTGTTTCCCTAATCGTTCGGGGCTACTTTACTCGTTGCATCGGATACAAGTGCGTGTACATTAAATCGACTTCAGTATCCCCCTCTCAAATTCCGTATCTCAGGCGCTGAAAATTCCTAGATCAGGAACTCTTGATACGCGACTCTAAAGATGGATGTTTCGTTCCGAAAAGGTGGACACTGGATGATGGTGCGCTAAAGCACATTTTCAGTCCCCAAAACATACTCTAGTGGCGCGGCGCATTTTGAGCTACATATCGTAGCGCCAATGTGGCAGTCAACCTCGATCTCAGTCGGAGCAACATGTGCCGTGATAAGCCAGTTGTCAGCTGGGAGAGAAAAGTTACATGTAACTGTGCCATGATCAAGGCACGTCACTGGCGTTCGGATCAACATTCACCTCCCACGCATTTCAGTTGTGAGCATCAGTCCCCGATCCCGCTTCCACGACCGACAGTCGACCGCCCTGTCCATTGCACATCTATCTAGGATTGACGTTAGACAATATGTAACGACAGACTATTTTCGATCCCTTTGCCGAGGTATGTAGCGCTGGTACTGAACTCTCGCAAGTCCGCGAGCCTCGAGAGCGGTAATCGATGAAGATTGTCACAAACACACACGATGAACTGTTTGCAGCATGATGCGCACGAGAGTTTAAAGGTAGCTGCTATTCTTTGGAGTTGAAGCTGGATAGGCGTATAATATTACATGGCGTGTTTGACTCGATCAATTCAAGGCCCCTGAATTTAAGACAACTCTTTCTTAGTAGGATTTACTGTCGCACAAGTGCTCCCCGAGTCTGACGCATGGAATCAGCAATGCCGAGGAATGTCTGTGCCAGTTGTATCTATACAAGCCAATCAATTTTGTGCCATTCGACAGGGTGTATTACGCACCGAATCAATAGCGTAGTATGACCCGCACGGGATATCGTGAGATGCTCCTGGTGATGCTCTTCTGTAAATATCTGTCGCAAGGGTCGACATAGAATCGAGAACAGGAGAGTAAGATCCAGCTGCAAAGGAAACGGTGAAGAATGACAGGGGCCGACTGTAATGGAGGTTGAATAATTGGCGGGAGGTTCCAAAGTCACTTTATACTGACCCCAAAAAAACCGCCTCATCACAGATCGCGCGCAGCTCCTGCGACGGTGTATTGGCTTCGCCATCAGACAGGAAGATAACACATGGGGCCCTGACACGAAATTAAAAGATCAATGTCACGAATCAACAATTGATGGCACACACAAACAAACCTGTCCGCACTCCAATTGCGTTCCATAACTCTATGGGCTTCTCCGATTGCAGCAGAAAAGTTTGTTCCTCCATCAGGGCCCATACGCAGGAGGGGCGACAGAAGCGCGCCAGCGTCTCGGGTGAGATCGTTGGCGATTATTGTCTGTGTACAAATCTTCAGTACGATCGAGTAGGAAAAAGTAGTCTGGCAAAACCTACAGTAGCAGTGTCATTAAACACGACTACAGAGTATGCATCGCGTCGTATGCCTCCTGGTGAGGCGCCTGCACGAGCCGTCCAAAAACCGTAAATTGCGGACAGCACAGCACCATATCTATTGTTGTTGTAATTAGTGATCTGACGAGTCGCTGCCTGTCCAGCAAGTGGAACCCGATCCCGCTCAGCCATGGATGACGAACGGTCCAACGCGAATATCCTGACGATGGGACCGAGTCAGCGTATATAAATATGGAGGCAATACTGCTGCGGTGGGGATTCTCGTACACATGGTAAGCAGCATGATAAAGTCCCGGGCTCTGGCAATCGAAGGAGTGTCCGTCCCGAGAGGTATACCCCGTAGTATTCCGAGCACTTGTAGAAGCGGGTTTGTGGAACATAGGGAGGGTGCAAAACGAACGCTGTGCCTTCATATTCTCCGTGGCCTTATGTTCGTCACCTGCGTATGCGATGAGGTAAGCTGCGTTTCCTCCATTCGCCGACTGCGATTTGCGAACAAACCATTGCATTCGGAATCACTAAGGCAAAAGTGAGATCATGACGCAAGTGGCGAATAACGACATACCACTTGGAGAAATCATCTTGGAGATCCTGAGAATAAGGATCTACGGGTTTCATCAGAAGTTGGGATTCTCCCACACTAATTCATGAGTAGTCACCTCGGAAACCTATAAAGTTGCGTTGATGCTCAGAAGTGACTGTAAGACTGGTTCATCAGATACCTGTTCGCGCCCAATAGGAAGCATGTGTAATCCAGTCCTTATCCCTGTTAGGTTCCGGATTCATTCTGGCAGCGATGTGCTCCACTGTATCGTCAGTACAACGTCCGTTCCTGGGGGCTCGGCAGAAGTCAATGTGTGCGTGCCGCCCCAGCTCTTTGCAAAACATGTTGCAGTACATCGGCGCACCCGAGTCACCTGTGCTAAACTTCCGCCCGGCAACCTCTCGAGTGGTAGAATCATCTCCCTCGAAACTCCAGGAAGTCTGTTCCATATTACCATGGGTAGTATTGTGCAACCCATGATGATCTTCGAATGTTGAGAGTCAGCCAGAATCCCCACTGAACTCAATCTCAGGCCATACCAATAGCAAGAGTACAAAAATAAAGGCAAGAGGGACAGCGCGTCTCGCAATAGTGGAACGCAGTTGCATTGGTTGTATGTGAATGCGCTTCATCATGTTTCAATTTGTTTGGAGGGATACGAACGGCACACAAAAGCTTGTGCGCATCTTGGGTGTACTACAAAACTCGTCGAGAACCAGAATAAGGCGCAGTCTGTTCGAGCACACACCTTAGTATATTGGAAGGTCTCGTTGCGACCGACGAATGTAGTCTCGATAGAGAGGGGAGCAGATGCTATTTCGCATATTCCCCGTGACCCACAAAGCTCTCTGCAATCATGTTCTTGCCTTAACACGACAATCAGTCCATAATCATGATTTTAGGCAAGATCAACAAACCCGCAGAGGTGGATTGCCCCGTTTTGAAGTGGGTGAGAATGTGACGTAATCGAGCACAGTCGACTGCATAGCTGACATTTAGCTGGGCATGTTAGCCTGTTTTCGCACTCGTGGAATTCGTGGGAATCGCGGCTGCAAGGTCGTCAGCAATGTGATAGATACCATGGCTCATGCAGTTCCACACCAATCAATTGCACAAGGCTTCGAACATAAAGGTGCACCATCTTGCTCGATCAAACTGAGACGACAGGGTTCACCGCAGGAGTGGGTGCGCGCAGAGCACAGGTGGACGGCATCCTGGTGCCCAATTTGCTAATGACGATGATATATAATTAATTTCTGGCGTCAGATTATGTAGCAACACTTGCTTTTGTACAAGCTTGTTGACAACCTCTCCTGTCCTGCAGGTAGCAGGGTTCGCCGCATACATGCTGGGTCAGGTCACATCTTTACGCTAGTCAGCCACTCTGCCATATAATGGGATGATTGAAGTACGCACATATGATTGCCATCGTGGCCAGCTCTATCAATAATGATTAAGAAGGAACAGGATCGGAGGGCTGTGTCGACTCACATCATGCTACACATTTTCTCCGAGTCCTGGGACTCGGAGGCGCATTCATCACACTTCAAGGCACAGCAGTGGTCAGTGGTGCAATTGTGGTCGCTCAGGTGGTACTTGGATAGGATGCACTTGAGGTTGCAGTTTTTGCAT